GTTTTTGAAGTTCAACTTTTAAGCTGTAAAAGGATTCTGAACTAAACTACTGCCTCAAGACTTCAACATTTTTGTTTTAGGGACTTCAAAATTTTTACTTAAGAATCTCTAATGTAATTCCTGAACATCACATAAGAGAACAAATGACTTCATTGCTCCATGGAAAAAAAATTGAACCCTCAGTTCTCAGGCAAAATTTTCCAAGAGTATTTATCAAGTCAGTTTGTACCAAAAAGAATAAATCCATCCAGTGGTCGGAACACCACTGCCTGTGAATAAGATCAGAATGTCTCTGCTATACCTACCATAGGATATATACTATTAACAAATAAAAAAGATTACTACTGCCAGAAGGCAGGACTTTAGCATACAGGAAGAGAAAGAGAGACATTCTAGCTCTACTACTGCAGCATTTCAGGTGGCCATAAAGCACAGCACAGCACCATGCAGCACCTAAAAGTCCACAGCTACCCTACAGCTCAGTCAGTACTGCACTATTCCACTTTCAGCAATTTTTGTTCTTTGATTTGGCTGCACACTTGACCTGGTTAAACCTTACTCCAGCTGAGAAAGCTGCATGTTGCGGCAGCACTGGGTTGGTAGGCATTGTGAAATAAAGTGGGAGGCCTTACGTGCTCATTTGTGTGTCAGTACCCAGAATGCTGCTTCTAGCTTCCAGCTACTTCATAGAAGTGCTGCTGAGACTTGAACCGTGGGAACACGGCAGTGCTAGCGTGTGTGGGTGTGTTCACACGTGTGCAAGGAAAGCTCTCTTATTCTCTTAGCGTCTGATCACACACAGTTTTGCTAAAGGTACAGATGTCTGGCACACAGGTAGGAAATACGAAAGGACTGTCAAACGTTGCTCGGTTCAATATTTAAAAAAGAAAAAAAGGGTTCAAAAGAGAGAGTCAAACCCACCCTCCTTTGCTGGAAATAGCAACCAACAAAGCCTTCAGGCCTGCTTTTTGAACTAATTCCATCATAGTGGAGGCATACTGATGTTAAGAAAGCAGAGAGCTGTCTGTCACACAGAAGTGGAAAGACAGCGTGAGAGACATGCCAAGGCCATATCTATACCAGCAAGTGAACACTAAACATGCACCAGCTGCTGAGCTCAAGAAAAAGGCTTTGGCACTGATGATGGATTTCTAGGACCCTGTTTTGCAACCCTGTCAAGTTATTCACATTTTAAATTTCTAGAAATACCCCAGAATGTAATGGTTGTGCTCCATGCCAGTAATGGTGGATGAAGTGAGAGACAGGTAGGGAAACATGACACCCACTCAAGCAAAAGCCGTGATGGTGCATGGAGACTCTGAAAGACCAGAGGGAAAACAAAGCAGAAAAAAAAATTGCATGAGCATGCGAGAAGGTGGAAAATCCAGTGAAGGATACAAACAAAGGAAAATGACAAGTTATCATATGGCTCAAGAAAAGAAAAAGCTTTGGGAAGTGGCAGGAAGGTGAAGAAGCTTATGGGAGTCAATCACTCATCCAAGGATGAACAGGAAAGATATAAAAATCAAAATTTTAGAAGAGGGTAAGGAAAGTGGCTGAGGCCTCCATGTTTCCTGCTGTAGTGGGGGCTCCAATTGTGACAACTCCCTCCAGTTTTTGGTTAGGACCCTTTGCTGACTTCATACAGATCTGGACAAAGGCTTCTTCTGCAAGTGGCAAGGCCAGGCAACACGCATTTTGTTCAACCAACCAGGCTGACTGAGAGACAATATATCTGCATGTATGTATCCACCTCTCAATACAGACGGATAGATATGCACAATGGATACTTGATGCATATAGAAATATATGTTGGGAATGAAGTATCTAGGTAAAGCTATGCCTTGTACCAATGCTTTAAAACCACACTAAGGAAAAAAAGGGAAGGGGCGGGGGAGGGGGGGGGAAGAGACAGGAAAAAAAGGCCGTTTTGCCAGTATGCTGAATCTGCAACGGAGGCTTGTGCCAACCCAGCTCCTCCATTTAAGTCAGACCCTTAAAAGGCAGAGCTGTGCTGGCAGAAATCTACATACCTCATCACAAAAACCTCATGAAGAACACACAAAAAGGTCAAAAACCCCACTGCTGCTTAAACAGCCATAAAAATGGTCATATGCATCTCATGCTACCAACATACTAACAGAGCCCCAGGGAAAACACAACACACAAAGCAATGTGTACACACACATACATAAATAAATAATTGAGAAACTGATAAAAACCCCACTCTTGAAAGTAGAAGACCGAATATCTGACAGAGCAGATTATGGCACACAACACACACAAACACCTCTGTATAAAATAGAACAAAGCAATGCAGAGATCTACATCAAAAAGGAAGACCACCACAAAAGACACATATGCTTCACCCTTTCATCCACAGAGACAGACAGACACAGAGCCCAACAGACACACAAAACCCACACAGACTGACAGTAATTAACACGAACACACAGACGCAGACATGGGACCATCCTTTCCTTTCCTTACTAGGCATCTAAACTTTACTCCAATGTTACTTGCCCCTGGCCACAGTCTACCAATCTTAGAGCCTGATAAAATCTCTCCATAATTATCTGCACACACTGCTACAACACAAATGACCTTAGCATATGATATCCGTTGGCTAAGCCCAATGGAAAAAGACTTCAGAAAAAGGAAGGTAAGCATACAAAACTCTGCCAGCACTGTCAGGGTCTCCTCAAGACTGCACCACGTTAATAGGAGAGCCCCGAAGGCAGCTCAAAAGCCTTGAAACTTAAGCCCAGTTCTGCCTAGGATATATGATAAAGCGTTCTTCTTTCTCTACCCCATCGTCTGAGCACACACTTACCACTCTGTTCTTCCCCATCAAACTCCTTGCTGCCTCCCAAATGAACCTATGCAAGACACTTAACATTTTATGATGACGGAGTTTTGGCAAAATTTTCTGAGACATAGATGGCCACGATTTCCTTACATGATTTTTGGCATCCACTATTAGGTATCTTGAATCCACTCTGCAAGAAGTGCTGTGCTGCACGCAGATTTTGGATTTTGCCATGTTCTGAACGAGAACCTATCAAAAGGTCACCAAAAAAGTCAGGCAAAGCCAAGATTTAGTGGTCTTTTCTTGTTCTCCACCTGCAACCTCACCTGGGGTGTTGGATAAATCATACAATTGAATAGAATGCCATAAGAGCCTTGTAAGAAAAGGAAAGCACACCTCCACTAACATTCATTTTAATTAAACTCTGGAAATGACCAAGCTAGGGACACAGTACCTTTCTGGAGCAAGAATGTGGAGATTTCTTAATTTTGCTTCCCAAATGAAGCATGCCCTAGAAAAGTCATTTCCCAACATGAAAAATTCCTCCACTTTCAGAGCCGTATTCTCCTCTCACAGACATTCATATACATCTATCCCACCACTCCATCTTAGCACATGACTGACAGAGAATAGACAAGCCATTAAAAACACATCCACCTCCAACCACGGAGATAATGTGGCTCATTACAGCCTAGCTTTGTCACAGCGGTTCTGACACTCCAGCGGGAGGAAAAGGAGGGGTGAGGACAAAATTGAAAGGGGGGCTAAGCACAAGACCAGGAGAGAAACTGGAACTTGAACGAGTGAGACTCTGCTCCTTAACCAGAAAACGTGGAGGCCAATCAAATGGGTTAACCAGGCCTCTTAGGCTAGCCGTAGGAATTACTGCATTGCTTGCGCAGGGTATTTCAAAAACCCTGGGTTTTGTTTGGGTATTTTTGCTGCGTTTTTTAGAAATAAAAGCTCTATTTAAGTCTGAGTGTGTGTCTGCCCCTTTAAACAAGTATTTGGTAAGTTAATCAAGAATTAAACTGAACATTCTCAGTGGGCTTTAAACGTTGCTTCTCTTTTTGAGGCTTGCGTCATTGCCCTTCCACTCCAGACACATAAAACCAAAGAAAAGTTCGGAAATGTCTGACAGATGAGGCAGAATCCAACCAAGAAACCGGCAGTGTAAAACTCAGTAGGCGAGAGTTTGCTTTAACCTTACATTGGGGGGGGTAGGAGCAGGAAACGAACTGCTCATCCCACAGCCAACTGCACCGTCGCCAGCGAGCCAGACATCCCGGTGTCTGCAAGCAAGTTCTCAAGGCCTTGTGGCACTGCTGCCCATGGATCAGGACTGGTGCCAGGTGCCAAGGCAGCCTCCCACCCACACACCAGGGATTCTGGGATCTAAAGGCAGCTCAGACTGAAAGAAAAACAAAAGACACCTAAAAAAAAAATGTGCTTTAGCTGTCTGGCTCAGCACGGCATGGCACACCTTAAGAAGCTGCTGCAGCTGGCCCTAGACAGATTCATTTACTGAACATATACATAATCCAATATACACTAGCCTGTCTGGTGGGGAGATTCAGACTCCACAGGGATACTCTAGAAGCAGGGACTTCTCCACTCACATTCCGCGCACTTAATCTGACCACCAGTAACCTGCATCACTGTCAAGATTTTTTCTTAGCAGCCACATTTTATTCCAATACAAGCCTTTAGACAATTTAGCCCCCACCTCCATCCCTGACGGCATGCAGTTGAGCAGAAAATTGTATATATTTGCATCTGGAGTGATCAGGAACTGTTAGTTTTTTCTGGCTTCTTCCTTGTCTTGATCCCTAATTGACGCTCTTAAGACCCGAAATCACATATTTCCTGCTAAAGTCTGGGGTAGTGTGCTGGGTTTCAAAGATCAGATTCCATGTACAGTAAGATATGCAAACACACATATATAATTTAAACAAACTCCAACTACCGTGTTCAGAACACAACTGGAGAAAAAAAGGTGCCATCTCAAACACTGCTCGTCTACATTAACACACACGTGGTGAGAATTAAGAACACGATTAGACTGCTAAATGACTCAAAGGAAAAGCAGCTGGTAACAAACTGGGTGTACCAGTGGATGTTACCGAAATTATAGAAAATTCCTTTTCTCTTTCTCCCCCCCCACACCTTTAAAATTAAAGGCATCACTTACCCTAGGGGCTTTCCTCTTGTATTTGTTGTTATAGTCAAATTTTTCTTTCATTTCATCTAAGAGCTGGCCCAGTCTAGCTTTCTCCTCTTTCCCAGTGTAATCCTGGCTGAGGAGGATATAGGATCTCCAGTTTGCAGAGTCAAAGCCCCAGTGGCAAGTCCTGTTTTCCAGAGATTTGTGAGAGTGGACCACAAATTTGTGAGGTGGGTACATAAGCCTGCAGTCCAAGCACTGGATGCAGGCTGCACTGGGATTACTGTAAAGCTCTGGCACCAAGAGTCCCTTACACTTCCCAAAGCACTCATGATACACCTTGAAGCTTTTCTCTGTAAGCTCCAGCTCAATTGTGCTAGAGAATTCCTTCTTGCAGTGGGGAGGATAGGTGCCACCATAAAGCAAGGCGTTACAAAGCCTCTCAGCATCAGTTTTAGTGATGAGCCCGCAGGAAGGAGCAGAGAAGGGCAGGATGCCCATGACTTTGAGGATTTCCAGCTGGTCAGCAGTGCATCTGGAGCAGTAAATATGTAGCTCATCACACACCGAATTAATCTGCTGCAGGGAGAAGTCCCTGAGCACCGAGTTCAGGATCTGGGGCAAGCAAAGCCGCTTTTCTCCACCCACCACGAAGCAGGAGATGGTTTCCCCTTCCAGGATGGTCTCGCACCTCTCTGTGGATCTGTCCGAGGGCATGAAGAAGGGACCAGGCATTACCGGAGGAGGCTGGATAGGGGGCAGATGCAGTACAGGTTCTGCTGGGTCTTTGCCATTGTCTTTCTTGTACATCTCCTGTGCCCATCGTGCTGAGAAAGCAGCAGGGCCACCCAGGGAGCTCATAGAGCTCAGATGAAACTGTTCCAAGGTCTTCTGCAGTCCTGGATGAGGCTGGAAGCTGCTTCTACTTACAGTCTCCATTTTTTAGTTTCTATTCCCAAAACAAACAACAAAAATCCCCAGTTATCTTCCACCCTGGTACAAATCCACTTAAGGGATTTTTTTTTTAGGAAAAAAATTACGAACAAAATAAAACAACCCACCCTTGTTTCTTTCTCCTTCCCACTCAGGTTTAACAATCCACTAACGAATAGGAAATAAATCCTTTTGTATGCGTGTCTCTCTCTTCTTTCTTTTCTCTTGGTTCGTTACAATCTCAAAACCTCCAAGTCTCCAAGCTGCCCCGATGGAGCACAGAGTCACGGCAAAAAGAGGTCTTCATCCGAACACTCACCCCCTCAGCCAATCCCCCAGGCAAACCAATCCCGCCTCCCACACCTCCACCACACACACTCACTCACACACACACACGCCACCCACAGAAATACAAAAAGTCTGTGCCACGCTCCGAGCACCGGGGGCTCAAATATGTTCTGGCGGCTGCTGCTTCTCTGCAGTAATCACCCTTCTGTCCATATCCACCGAAAGGAAGGCGCGGGGGAGGAAAGTAAAAAGCAGGAGGAGGAAGAAAGCTTGGTCTGTGGAAGGGAACAACGCAGAAGAAAAGGAAAAGGCCCAAATCTCTGGCACTTCCAAAACGGCGCGGGGGCTTCGGACGGGCAATAAGCAGGCTCCCTTCTCCCTCGTGGTCCCTCAGCTTGATCTGGGAGGACTCCTCGTCTCTCGGGTCGCCTTTCTTCCCTTATTTCTCTCGGTCTTCTCGGCGTGCCGTGGGGAGCCGCGGTAACAGAGCGCACATCCTCCCAGCTCCTCTTTCCAGCAGAGACTGAGAGTGCCTGAGAGCTGAGCTAATGCAGGCTGGCTCAGCCTCCCTCCCTCCTCCTCCTCCTCCTCCT